ATTTATTATTAATATATTTTTATTTTTCGCAACTGTGAAGCAGTTTCTTTTAATTGATTCGAAACAGTTTTTTAAAATTAAAAAAAAATGGGCTTGTATCCTTTTTTATATTTAAAATATGCATTAAAAAAATAATTAATAAAGATAAAATCGATCAAAAAAAATCAAAAAAAATCAATTTTTAAAAAAAAAATAAAATAAATATTTTCTAACAATATTTCAGGTAATCTAAGTTGAAGCGAATATAGGCTCTATAAAAATAACGGTTTAGACTAGATTTGTACCCTTACCCTAACCCTTACCCAGTTTGGTCCTAACCCTATAAAAACTGATTTGAAACTCTATTATATAAGATCTTGCATTTTAAAATTATGTTTAGAGAAGTAAATTTCTTTATTTCCTTATATATATATAATATATATATAACGTAGATTTTAATTGCACTTTATTTTTATAAATAATATCTATTAGAGAATATAACAAATAAATACGGATTATTAACTTCTATATTGAACCTTTTAAAAAAAAATATATTGAACTGTACTATAATTAAATATTTTCTACCTATTTATAAATTACATTTTCTATATGGAGAAAGTATTAATTTTATAGATGAAAAAAAGCTCTCTCTCTCTCTATGCTATTTTCTATCAGACAATTTATATAATTTAGCGTATTTTACTCTGATATTTTGTTAATAGTTTTGAGATTCTATTCTCTATTTAGGAAAAGGTTCAGTAGAGAAATTAACTAAAATATTTCTATCTAATATCTCTTTCTAACAGTTTTTACTGCAAGTTCTTCAAATGTTTGTTGGCTAGATGGCATTCTAATCTTTTTTTTAAATTTCTTTTTGGCTTTTGTTGTGATTTGTTAATTGTTTTAAGATGAAACTTTCTTTTAATATGGCGCTTAATATTTGCGAAATGATGGCCTTAATTGCATCATAATCTATAGGGTTTATTTTTAAAGTAGTGATTATATATGGGCCTTGGTAAAGTTAATTTATCTGATTCTTAATCTTCAGAATCAGATGATGAAATTCATTCATGCTTATGCTATTTCTAGATAATCTAAATAATCAAATGAATAATTTACACTATAGAACTGATTAAGTTTAATATTTTTCATTTCCAAATGAATTTAAAAAAATAAAAGGTTTTTTTTTAAATTGAACGAATGTAAAAATACGAAAATTCTCATCAAAAAAAAAGATTGGCATTCATATTCAAATTTTGTTAGAAATAAAAGGAACATCGTTTATCACTTTAAAAAAAAATAACGAACTTCGCAAAGTGGCTTATGATTGGTTTATAACAAATAATTATAATAATGTATAATATTTAATTACCCCCCTCCCCACTCCCTTACTTTGTTTTTGCATAATTTAATTAACTATCCATCAATGAATTTGAAAGCGCCGTTGAATACAAATCAGCTGTACCCGCCATTTTGGTAACCTAATATTGTAATTATTTACACTACATTAAATTGATAACTGCTTCCTTATTATCTCGATGATCAGGCAATTTAATAAATTGTGCGCCACTTAGGAATGAATTGACCTCTCGTTAAAAAAATTTTTAATAATGATATGGGTAACAAAAATGGCGTCCCCAGCTGTTTTTATTGATGTACACCTTTGATGAATGCATCGTCGGGATGCCCATCAATATAAAGCCAACAAGTTATGAAATTTTTAATTAACATAAAAACAAAATCTCTAAATATATAATATGGTTACACCAAAGATTCAATGGATGAATCCTGCAGTCCAAGTCTAAAATATCTTACCGGGATGTATAATATTTCTATTAAATTAAACTCGAATTTTTGAAAAGGATGATAAGCTTAGGTCGGAAAATCTTACGAGACTGGGAAACTGGTATTTCAGAATTTTTATTTGCAGTATTTGTACCACCAAAATATGTTAAATTCTTAAATCACAAAAAAAAATCATAATTTATTTTTTAAGATTTTCTCTTTTTTGTTCAATTAAAGAATTCAATCATTATTTTTTTTCTCAATAAAGTTATAAATAAAGTTTTATAAAAATTTTATTTTATTTAAATTAAACTATAAAAATCTAAATCTCATTTTTCCATTTTTTTTTCCTGCCTCAATTTAGACAACAAAATAAAATAAAAATTATATTTTATCTTAAAAAATTTCTTATTGGGAAAAAACTTTATGATTTCATCTTTATAAATTTTATTTTTTTATTTTTAATAAATTCATTTTATTATATTAGGAATATCATGGATTTATATAAAACTATATCACAATTTTAAAATAATACTTTGAACGTTTAAAGGTAAAACATATGTACGTAATTTAAAAAATATATATTAAAAATATCATGCAAACTATTTGTAAAGTAAAATCTATATAAAAAAACTGTATAATTCCATTAAAAAGGTAAATAAATTAAATAATAATCTTATTTCTTGTAATAATATCCATTGATATTTTTTTCATCTTTCATTTTTTAAGAACACCTTTAAAGTAACGTTGTTTAAACAGCTCAATTTAAGCCTTTTTAAAAATCAACAAACTTAATATTTTAGCTAGAAAAATATTGTCTAAGCCTCGAGAATTCGCTAATAGATCTTCAAAACTTTGTGCCTCCTATGAGAAAATTCTTAATGTGCTTCCATAATATTTTTCCTAATAGAATATTGAGTTAGCCGTTTTTCTAAAAACGGCTCAAAATGTGCCGTTTAACAACACTACGTTTAACGTATGCTATAAGTGAACGGTGGATCAAAACAACTTATTCATGATGAATATTCGGGAAAAAAAGAGGACGGTAAGTTGGAAAACAATATGGAAATGTGAAGAGTTTTATAAATTATTCATTTAGATAATCATGTGTTAGATGGTACTGAGGTCCTTAAAACCTAATGCTAATGCTAATTAAATTATAAAATCGTGCAGACACCTCAAAAAATATAAGCATTACAATAGGAGGGACTTTGCCATTCATTCATACTGCACCTCCACCTGTTGCATCGATAAAACGGATTCAGAGTGCTAGTCGCTTATCGGTTCCCATTACCTAGCTCATCGAACAATTATGATTCCCGATAGCTGTAGAATAACATGTTAGGGTTTGCCATTTCCTCAATATGACACCAATTATTTTTAACCAGAAGGGCCAGGAATTTTAATATTTGCCACCGCGCGAAATTTTACATTGATGGAGGAAAGCAGTTACTGGTAAGCAGGCTCCCTTTTTAAATTTTTACCACCTTTGGATCCTCCATGTTCTATATCATAAGACGATTGTATCCACCGTTTTTAAACTGTTTCAAACCCAGATTACATATATAAGGGACTTGGATGTAGTATTGTTAAACGGCTTGTTTTGAGCCGATTTTTAAAATAGGGCTAGCTCAATATTTAACTAGAAAAATCTAGATTTAGTAATATTATTCTGGATAAAATATTGAGTCAGCCGTTTTTTTAAAATCGTCTCAAATCGAGCCGTTTAACAACACTAGTTGGATGAGATAAAAAAAATTACATAGTAATCTACTAAACCCTATATCGATAATGATAGAATTTGATTAGGGGAAAAAAACTATAAGAGGTTGTTATTTTTTTTAATATAACTCAAGCAATTTGGAGGCACATACAAATGTATAGCGAGTTACTATCGCATTATTTAGATAAAGATGCGCGAGATGAGTGGTCAATAAAATTAAGACAAATGTGATAATTACGATGTTTACTTTTTGCATAGTAACGTGCAATACTCGGAAAAATTATATATGCTGTGTACTTTTTTTTATTTAAGATTCTCTACGTCATCAGTCCCTTAAAGGTCATCTATCCCGGACCATCCTAAAATAAAGGATAGATTATATGTGCCTTCAGTTTATTTTTAGAAACTCTTATTTTTAGTTGGTTCTCTATCTATTGACAATGGCAAAACTATTCTTTCAAATCCTAACCCAGAGCTAGGCGGCTTAACAAATCCTATGACTACATTCACCGCTCCACGTCCCTTACTCTAATTAATCCCATGACTTCAAATTCAACAGTTTACACCCTTATAATAATCTCGCACATGCTTTTAAAGATAATTCGTTGATTTTCATCTTCATTTGATAAGGAGTCGCAATAAAATATTTTTTTAAGTGCCAAAATGTGCTGCAATTTTTCATTCACCTTACACTTTTATATTACTTAAATTTTTCTATTCAAAAAAGTTTTATGTAAGGATCTTTTTAATCTCATTCACACCCTTTCTAATGAAAATCTGATCTCATTGGTCCTTCTACAAGAAAATGTATCTTATCATATTTTATAATACTTAGGTACTTCTTTTATTTGTAAAATATTTATTTTTGATTTCTCTCCAAACTCTCGACTGGTCTGAGGGCCACAAATATATCAAAACATATCTTTTACCTTCCATTGACAAATTTACCTAATAAGTTTAAGTACAAATTACCGCCACACCTTACTAAGTACTATTTAGACAAGGTCACATTTACGCGATATTTTTGCAAGATACGGCACCATTAAATTTTTTCCATTCATAATGGTGGCTGCATTCGATCATCTAAAATCTGCATAAATTCCCTTTGGAAATATTTAAACTCTCATGTGTACTGGAAGAATTCTTCTTTTGATCGCAAGACCATAAAACTCGATTTCTAATATCAAAACATACTTTACTATGATAAATTGTCAAGAAAAATATTGCTGTTACTAAAAGAAATCAAAGTTTTAAAGGAGACTAGAATTAACCGATAATCGTTAAAAACTAATCGTATCATGTTTTAATCGTAAAGAAATACTTGGTTAAATAATTTTTAATATAAAAATAAAGTATTTATTTTTAATAAATAAAATATAAAGAGAACAATCGCTATAAATATAAGCGAAAAATACAGATACTGTTAATGAAAACCTATCACTGGGTTTTCCACAATAAATTAAACACCAAAATAAAGATTGCAAAAATTTTGTTGGTTGAAAGTATATATTGATAACTTGTAAGCAAAAAATTTTATTGATAAAATGATCAATCCATTTCATTTATATTCATATATATATTGGTATATGATTAATGCAATCCCCAAGATAAATATAAAGTTTAAGCATTTCTAAGATTAATAATCATGATTTCTCCAATAGTATTGATCCATTAGAAGTTTATTGTGGTGCCTTTGCCAAATAAATTTAATTATATATAGTAGTGATATGTATTGTTTTAATGGGGGAATATATGTAAATATTGGTTATAAATTATGTATTAGTAAAGAAAATGAAATATTTATAAAATTAATAAATAGAAATTAAAAGATATAGGAGTTCTTTTTTATAATGCTTAATTCTTATCAAAGTTAGTGTTGTTAAACCACCTATCTTTAGTCAACTATAAATCAGTTAGCCATATTTTTATCCAGAAATATTCTAATCAAACTTCAAGTTTAGACTCACCTTAGAAGCTTAATTCAATTTTTAAATCTAAAAGTTTGACTAAGACCAATATGGTCATAATTAGGTAATTTAAAAACACTAATCAAAAATCATAATATACATTAATTCTTAGTAGCAATTTGTACAAAATTTATTTTTAGAAAATTAGGAAAAACTAATAACTGTTGATAAATATTATTAAGATATAAAAAATTTGATTTGCCAGTAAAAAGTATTTTTTTTCTATCTAGTAAATGTTCTCAAATTTTTTAAATTTTATTATTTTCGTCAATTTATTATTATTTTCGTCAATTTATTATTATTTTCGTCAATTTATTATTATTTTCCTTACAGTAAATATTATTATTTTTTCTAAATAATCAGGCCACAGGCGCAAATGTCAAATATATTTTATTTTTTAAATTTTATTTGGATTTTACTTCACCAGATGGGTCTTTAATTTTTATAAAAGCGCGCGATTATTTCCTTAATCTTGTGTCATCATTTTATACAAAAGATTATTAATATTGTAAATATTACAAATTAGATTAATCTAAGATAAGTATATATTCAACTAGCTGTAGCAGTTCTTCCAGTGAAATAAGAATTGGGGTAGAGTAATGGTAATAACATTGAATAAAATTAATGATGCCTATACAAATGGTAAGTAAAAGATCTCAATAAATAATTCCTTTTCAAATTCATTATGATACTTTGAACAATTTATCCTTCAAGAAATTTTCAACCAATAATATAAAAAATTTTATAAATATATTATGCAGACCTAAAATAATTCTATATATTTCTAATGCAAGCTTAGCAAAATTAAAAATATATTACTTCTAATAATTGAGTTATAATTAATTAGAATAATCAAAAAAATGTAGTTAGGACAATCTTTGGACTTTTGAATTCTTTTACTTCTAGTCTCTTTCTCTTATAATTGATACTGGAAGACGGTTTGACTGTTTCAATCCTTTCTATATAAAGATTGAGGATAAAAAGTAAACAGTGTGTACTAGTATTATAGTAACGTAAAATAAAAACTAATTATTTAATGATATCGTTTTATCATTTATTACAATTGAAATATAATGATTTGAATAAAAAGATTATTATTATAATGTGAGTTTTTTCCCACCCCATAGAACAAGATACTACATCATCTATAAAATAGGATATATGGCAGGTACTATTTTTTTTTATACCTAAATATTAAACAAAACTTCAAATTTAAGAATTTGCCAATTTTTCAGTATCAAATTGTCTTGATGTTGCTTATGTAAATTTTTGTTTTTATTTTTTTTTATAAATATGATCTTTATAGATGGTAATGAGTAGGAGGTAATATATAGGAATTGACTATTATTATTTTGACGCCTGCCTATATACTGAGTGCTGCTTAATATATTCGCTTAACAAGCCAATCGCCTTGGAAAAATCTTGGATCGTTTCATTTATTAAAATATCTTTAATTTTTTAGAGTTATATTTCATCTCCCCTTTTAACCATATTAATTTCGAGTCATTGAAATTTTTGTTTTAGTTGCAAACAGTATTAAATGATATAATTGGTAATATTACCGTTATGTTGAAGAACGTAAAGCATAGCTGTAAAAAATTAATTATTTTAAAAAAAATCCATCCTAAATTTGCCAATTAAAAAAAAAACGATTTTTTGTACTTCTATCGGATATAATTGTGACATTTCCCGAGACTAAAATAATTTTATGGAATTAATTAAGTATTTTATCATATAATTTACATAATGTACCTGACTCACTTAACATGGCAGTTCCTACAAAAAATAAGAAAACAAAATTTAATTTTTTTTTTTGTCATTTATATTTACTATTTTTTTTTATTGGCTTTATGAGTTTGTGTAAATACTTAATTAATTTGGCGGGGAAAGGGGGTTAGAAGGTTTGTGGTGGTCTCTTAATAAATTTAATTGAAAGGCAGTTTTTTTTTTTAATTTACTCATTATTTTTGTATATTTTCGGATAGGTCAGAGGGGAGGGGGGGGGGGTAAATTTAATAGTTTAAAATATACCTTCAGATCATGAGACCTACAGAGTTCAATATAGCCACTCTGTTGTGATTTATAAAAATTTTACATATTTTTACTATTTTATTTTTAATAAGCCCATTTCTGATTTTAGAAATTATAAAATTTCTTGGCCATTACTGGCGGGGTTTTGGACCACGCCTTGCAGGTAACTGGTGTTTAAATAAATTTTTCAAGCCCTAAAAAGGGACATTTTTACGGCGTCCCTAACACTCACTTTGTGAGTTACTATAAATGTATAAATTGTTTATACACGTGGGTAGTATTAACAAGATACAAAAGTACCAATAAATAAGATTATATATAGAGATTGATGATAAATCTAATTACCTCCAATAAATATGGTTAGGATGCCGTTTACAGGTCCTAGATAATTAACATATTTCATTATTATAACATATATTGGTTATTAATATATATGCTTTAGTTAATTTGCGTTCAACTAAAATTATTTGACAAACTACCATAAAAAGATATTTAAATCTTAAAAATAACGAGTTTGATTTATATAATTTAGCATTAGGCTAGAACAGTTTTAGAAATTTATAATCAACAAATTTAAATGTTATATAATATTTATTGCATTTTAAATAAATAACGTAAAAGAAATCATTTTAACAAATTTAAAACAAGATAAACATTAAAACTACTTTAAATTCGGTTGTAGATATTACTTGAGGAAGATTATATATTTTAAACGGATATGCTACTTAAGTGGAAACGACTAGTGATACAAAATTGCTCCATTTGAGCCAAATATTTATAACGGGCTAATTCAGTATTTTATCCAGACAAATATTACGACATCTATCTGCGAATTTTTCTTTAGGCTAGGGAAGTAACATTTTCCTGGCAGCCAATTTTAAAAAATTGGCACAGATAGAGGGCGTTTGCATCACTGAAAACCACAAGTCACCAAAGCTATCAAGATTAGCTAGAAAAATATTGACATTTCTAACAACTAGTACTTCTTCCTTCTAGTATTTAGAACATAGAAGAAGGTGTTTGAATCCTGAAAATGTGAATTCATTATTTATTGTTTTTTGCATTATAATTACAAATAATATAAATAAATATCATTTTATATTTATATTTGTTGAATGAATGGGCATATTTAAATTTTATATAGGCGGGCGTGGGTTAAAAATTTTTTATAAGTATAATGATATGGCTATCGGGTAACAAATTCTTGAATAATGGGTGTGTAAAGAATTTCATGGAATGTATATTCTTTTAAAACTATGAGCGGGTTGGGACGGGTTTGACCCTTCAGCGCTCGGCCTGGGCCACCCGTTCTAATTTATTATGGGAATTGAATGCTGGACAGTTCACAAAAGATAGGGAAAAATGTTATGGGCATTACAGAAATAAAAATGCCAAGATTAATGCTGAGAGAATCTAAGAATGGGCAGGTGAGGAATAAATCTTTTAGAAAAATTTTGATATTCACTCAAATTTTGGCTAAGATAAAGTATGTTTCGAATGATTTAGTCATATAGAAAGGAAAGAGACGGTATATATTGGAAAGAAAATAACTTGAATTAAAAGCTGAAGGTAAACCCAGAAAAGATTTTTAAATTAAAAAAAAATGAAAGTGTTATCAAAAATTTGCGGAGTGTAAATTTAATTGGTAAATGATAGAAATATGTGGAGGAATAGAAAATAGAATATAGGATACGAAGTAAATAGCCATTAATTATTATACTTTTTATAAGAAGCATAGGGGATAATTTTGTATGCTTCCTCATACTATATATCCAGTTAAACATAAACCTTGTTCTATATAAAATATCTATTTCCTCTATTTTTTAGCAATTTTTTTTTAAAAAACTCAACTTATAATAATTCCCTAGCATCTAATAATATTAATTTTAAATTTAATTTATAAAATTACATTTTTTTTTATATTATATATTTATTTTGCATAGGAAATTATAAAAAAAAAAAATTATCTAATTTATTATATAAAAGTAAACATATACAATTATAAAATGGGCATTAATGTATCGATGAATTAAAATTAAATTTGATCGACATATTTTTTCCCAAATTTGCCCTTAATTAAAATGCTTTCCAGGTATATGAAATCATTTATTTATTATTGCAAATTTTACTTAATAGTATTCTTCTCAGAACTTAATCGTAATAATAAAAAAAAAAATTTGATTAATAATAAATAAATACTATATGATATTTCAATAACAAATTAACCAATCATTCGCTTGGCTATTAAATTTATAATATGTTTATTGATATTAATCTGAAAATTTTAAAGTCTAAGCTTTTAACATCACCAAACTCGAAATTTGCTAAAGAGCAAACAATTGACAAATTTTTGCATAAATATTTTTGGACATGGTAAAACTAGATAGAATATATATTGAAAATACTATAGTGAACAACGATTGATACTTTAATTAAATTACGTATATCTTGAAAATACTGATAAAATCTTGAAGATATTGAAAAATAAACTATCAAAGGAGATTTTTTTAAAATTATTTGCATAAGAGTTTTTGTAAAAAGATATATTAAATATATCCTAAGCCCTAAGGATATAATGCTGGAATGGTAATAACGTCAAATAACCCAAATTTCTGCTATACTATTTAGAAATTAGGTTGACTTTGTAAATGTTTTAGGGGGGGGGTAACCAACACCATCCACAAGATTGTATCTTTTTAATAGTGCCACCAAACTTTGGATAACTGAGCTTAGCTATAAATTTATCTAAAATATTTGCCTCTATTTTCAAGTTGAGGGTTCAATTTGGAGGTTTATAGTCATTTATTAGAGAAGAGAGGAGCATTTATTAAGAGAAGAGCTTGATAAAGTTGAATTAGAGTTGGCCATAAAGGTGAAATAAATATTAATTTTGATTACCTTTCAATTTATATATGAAGTAAAATTAATCTACCTCTATTCCTAAAATTCATTGTTCTATTAGATACTATTATATTTAAAAAATACAATATATTATCTATTATATAATGATACATATCAAAAATTAATTTAAAAAAAATTAAGTGGAGTTGCATAACTATTTCTTAATAACAACAAATAATGCTTATAGACTAGATTATTATCTTGATGAAAGGTATCATTTGTAAGCAGTATTTGGATCTTAGGAATTTCACATAATTTTTTTTTAAATTTGATACGTATAAAATAGTACAATTAATTAGGTTATTATCTTATTGCAACTTCTTGAATGATCTTTCTTTCTTTCATCCTTCCTTCCTTCCTTTCTTACTTGAAAATAAAAATATTTTACTAATTCTGAGGTCCATTTCTTGTACTATATTTTAATTATTCTATAACAATTTATTTAATTTTTTTTATACCTAAATTAAACGTAGGATTTTCATTTGATTCTAAAGTATTAAATTAGATCACTATATTCATATTTTTTCCTAATTTACTCATTCCAATCCACAAATTTAAACCTGATAATAAAAGATTAAAATAAATCTATTGAAAATTTTTTAAATATGTACTTTCGATGCAATAGCTCATATTTAGAGAACCTATAAGAAATAAATAAATTTTATAATTATGAATTATCCTATAAAAGGCCAATACCTAAGATAACACCTTTAACATTTGCTATAATAAAAAAGAAAGCCATATATATAGAGAATTTTATACAACAACAATAAAAATAATATGATTTTCGTCCTGACCCATTTCAGATTTTTAAATATTTTGTATATTGATAGTTTAATAAATAAAAGTTATAAATTTTTGAGATTTTAAACTCAATAAGGGTTCGAATGTCTATCTTAGAATTGCGAAATATTAATAAACCGTTGAATATTTCAAATAGAAATATCACCGGATACTTTGAGCCAGGAGGACTAGTAGCTTAATAATACCTCTCTATAAATTTGTAGAGGTGTTTACAAAATATTAAAGAATATAGGGAAGTGCAAAATTGGAGCGTTTTTTTTTCTCTAATATTCATTTATATAATTATAGATATATGTAAAAAGATACATCTGTATAAAAAAAATAATGGTGGAACCATTTTTTTTATTAAATATATTTTTAAATATAACTCAAGTTTGAGATATAAAATCCGTAAATTTTTGTGTGAAATAATTAAGAATTTTAATTCAATATTTTGTTGAGATATTCCTAAATAATTTTAATTTACGAGCAGCATTTAATATTTTACTCTCAGAATAACTATGCTTATGGAGATTCAAACTAAGAGCTCTACAACTGATAAAAGATAAATACTCAATGGAATGGAGAGGGAATGGAGGTGTTAAAATATTTTTAAAACATTGGGCGAGAGTAGTGTTGTTAAACTACCTAGCTTTAGTCAACTATAAAACAGCGTGGCCATATTTTTATCCAGAAATATTCCAATCAATCTTCAAGTTGAGACTCGACTTAGAGGTTTAATTGAATTTTTAAGGCTAAAAAGCTTGACTAACCCACAATTGAGATGGTCAAAGTAAGGTAATTTAACAATACTAGGTGAGAGGGTTAATTTGAAACATGAAGAACATTTATTTAAAAAAAATTCCTTTTTTTTTAAAAAATATTTATTTCATAATATTACATATTTTATAAAAATTTAGCTGGAAATACATTTAAAATATTAAAAAAATAATTGTAAGAAAATATTAACAATTGGTCAATAATAAATAATTAATGGATACGAATAAATTGGCATTTATAGTATTTTTTTTTCATCTAAAATACCCCCACTCGCTATTGGCTGAATAAGCATATAAAAGTAATATCTTTTTAGTTTCTATAAATTACGTACAAATATTTGTGTATCTCTAATCGACCCCTTCTATACTTTAAAAATTAATTTAATATTTGAAAGTATGATTGACATTATTTTATACTAATCAGAGACCGACAAGTCCGATCCTAAGTCCGGCTCGGCCCATTTTTGTTTTAAATACCCGGTCCGGGCCGGGTCTATATATCCGGGCCGGGCCGTAAAAAAAAATTTTTTTTTTTAAATAAAAAAGTGGGTCGGGTAGTGTCGATAAAAAATCCTGGTCGAGCAGTGCAAATGGAATCTTTGCAGATCTCCGATACTAATTAAAAAAATATAAAGGAGAGTGTGATGAATAATCTCGCCTAAATTGATGCCATTAAATTATAATAATTTAAAAGTTATTTAGGGAAAAAATTCGTTTAAGAGAGAAAAGAGCTCTTTATGCCCCTTTAAATTGTCGTAACTTCAAAACCTCCAGAAATAATATCCGAATAATTTTTTATACACACGTGCCTCAATCTAAGGCTAATATATACATCCGGTTTTGTATTTCCCGTATTTTTTTATTAATATTATTTTTTCCTCAGTCATATATTTTTGAATAATATTATTATTGAGCTGGTAGATTATATCTGAATAAATATGCCAACTTATAATACATTCACAGTTACCGCAAGACATATTAGTTGAGAGCCCAATTATCTACCCCTTAGTTAGGGTATTCATCTAATATTATATATATATTTTTTTAGTAATCAGAAGCATAATCATTTTAGAAGATTTTAACATAAACTCTTGTTGATTTTGTTATGGAATCCAACATTGTTGAATTTTGGGAATAATGGAATTATCAAATATTTTTAATATTGGAATAATAATACAAAATATAGCATATTCCATCACAAATATTTAGTAATAATTTTTTTATATAAACCTTCGTTGGTAGTTTGAAGTAAGCCATCTTTGAATATTGTAATATAGGGTCATTTTATATTTCACTTTTTTTTAAAAAAAAGTTCAATAAATACCTTCACTTCCGCAAATTATTTCATCAGCCCACATAATTTTTCTAACAGCTTTTGGTTTTACATTAAGATAATAGAAATTTTAAATGACATACCCGAAGATACCTTCTTGCAAATGATAGTTTCAGCTAGTAAAAATTATTTTTCATTTAAAGGGATATATTGAATAAATGTATATATGTATGGATACCATTAATATGTATACTAATTAATATTTATTAAGATATCGGTTAGTCCTATTTTGTCGACATTTTATAAAAAAAAATTAAAATAACAATCAAATGAAAAATATTAAAAATTATATTTACTATTGGCTTCCACAACTATTAAAATAAAGCAGAATTTTTTAATGGTATATTATAGAGTTTATTTTAGTTACATCCAAAAGCTAAGACTAGAGCGGACAATAATATTATAATTTTATTCATTATTTTAAGAAAAATACTAATAATTTGAGTAAAATAATTTTAATTTATATTTGTTTCTCAAGGTTATTTACAATTTATATTCCATAAATTTGAAAAATATTACAATAATTGGTAATCTTTTAAAAATGTAAAACAATTAATTAATGTTATCTTTAAAGTTTATATATAAATATCTTTATTTATAAATTTTGACCTTGATTCAAGGTTAACTCTTTAACAAAAATAGATTAATATCAGAAATAAATTTATCCAAATATTTTCCAAACATATAATGGAAGATTTTATTATAAATTTATAAATTTATATAATATAATATTGTAGATGCTTAATTAATTAATATGATAAGAACTTAAGCAATACACAAAATCGAGATAAATAATATCGAAAATTATCTTAGTTTTAGGCCACCTTACCATAAAGTCACCCTCGCTACTTTCCATTAATTCATTCGTATTTTTAATTTTTGGAAGGTAATAATCTCTCGTCTGTCACACGAGGCCATTATACACACCCTCAGAAAACATCCTTACTCCTTGCTTCTACCGGCAATTGATCTACATAAATCTCTCCCATTAGTCGATCCTCACTCATATGCGCCACAGAAGGACTGAGATAATTTTTTAGTTGGCAACTCTGTTGTATATCTTAAATTGAAGATCTAACCTTAGGACCATTTTGTATTCTTCTCCACAGGTAAACAGTTACGAATTTCTCGAAGCTAGCTTTTCCATCGAGAAATCTTGACCAACTGCTAAGCAAAGAATTGCTATATGTATTACCCTGTCATTGTATTATCTGGCAAACAAGATCACCCAAAGGCCTTCATTCTCTACATTAAAGGCAGATTCTTTATGCTTTCAAAGTCCAATAGTAGTATAGTATAACCAGGGCCTTTAAATCTGCTAAAATTCTGTCAACCCTTGATGCCATTGGACTCTATAGATCCTATGGCAAACGGCCAGATGCTTTTGCTATTATACTCTGGAGAAAGAAAGGATTCCTAACCGAGAATTTGTTCTCAATTTGAGCTGCTATCTCTTCATGTAAAAATCCCCGAGACCATAATACTTTTTGATCCCGTTTGTGGTTAACGGTGAATATATACGTCACCTCCTATTCATTTTTAAACATAATAGCTTTTATTTAAAAAAGAAAATAATAAAGGTTTTTATATAGTTCAGAGTCAAACATTGTATTTCAAGAATAGAAAGAAAAATATAAAAAATATTTCTGTCCCTAAGAAGCACTTAAACATGGCGAATTTACGAGGTCCAAGATGCAAAGTTTTCTAAGTGATCTCACTAGTATACGATGAAAATTAATATTTATATTATTTTTATAGATATATCAATATTTATCAATCATTTTTAAATTTTTAAATAATTAAAATTTTGATTGGTAATTACATAAAGTTGACTGGTGCATATATGTACCGTTAACCATCTATCAGTATAAATTATTTTAAAAAATAATTCAAACAAAAAATTTAACACATTGAATTATAAATATTGATATTGTACATCCATACAGTCACTAGGGTGGGGGGGGGGAAGGGGGGGGATTTCGAGTTCCCTGAAAATCTTTTATATCTAAAAAAAGGTCATTTAAGAGGAAGATATAATAAAACTTGAAAAAGATTTGCATTGTAAAAGTCCATCATTTATATTTTCTAGATTTTCGTTCAACATTAATATTCCCTATATGTTGATCAAAGTAATATTTGAGGAAAAAAATGAATAGGCCTAACATATGTATAATCATCCCAGATAGAGATTTATTGGAATTCTATTATGATAGTGATATTAATAATCCAGTAATCCGGAATATAATGACCCAATTACAATTTTGAAATATAATATTTCAATTGGCAGCACGCAAGTCAGTTTGCATTTAAAAACCCAACTGATTCATCTGGACATTATTTATCCAAAATCATAGGCGGAATAAGAATTATATACATATATTTCTATAAACACACACTCAAGATATGTGGCTAAATCGCACTTCATATTAAATATTACAAGGATTTTCATAATATATAAACATTTTCTCATTTTAATTATGAATTACAAAAAAAAGAATAATGATTTCTATTATTTTTTTTATGTTATGGTATTAATACATAATTTATATCTTTATTCCTATTAATGGTTAACGGTGCAAATATGCGGCAAACATCTCCAACTAATACGTAAATACTTAAATATTTAATAACATTTAACTTTGCAATTAACTAATTGATCAATATTGTGATGGGCTCTCTTAAAATAGCCATTTGAAACAATGTTTTCATTATTTGTGAGCATTTAATTGGCAAAAGGGTATAACTTAAAAGAAAAATTAAGATTAATTATTGTAAGTCAAAATGAAAATTAATATAATTAATTTTGTTCCATTGAAAATTATAAGGTATCAGTAATATCTTTCTTTTTTGTGTTAAATTGTAAACTTTTTTATAATGTTTTTAGATAAGCAATAATGGTCAACTGAACTGCGTAGACGTTTATATATTATTAAAATGGAAGATAATCTTTTAGAAACTTAATATCTCACAATAAAGTTCTCGATTACTTATCTAGCTTCCATCATGTCATTTAAGAATTTCGTTTATATTCTCTTCTTCAAGAATTGTTGATTTGGTAAGGCCTATAAATTTTTCTTTATCAGTCCATTCTATAAAACATTGTCTAAAATGATAACAGAGAGTTATATTTGTTTCATGACCTTTTTTCAATGTAACTTGCTAAGAATTATATATCCTTAAGTGGTTTAAAAAATCATTATCAATTGAAGCATATATATGAATTAATTAACCTTTCAATTGTAATTCTTTAGACGCAAAATTTTTTTATATCAACAATCAAAAATTTTTTACTGTAATAAATAGATTTTGTAATAAAAAAATATTATTTTTAGAAATGTCTTGTATTGTTTTATTATTTATATTCTAGGTTTATTTTGTATGCAAAATATAATAAATGAAAAAAATATGAAATTTATTGTTTAGAGTTAGCAAATTTAAAAAAGGTATTATATATTAATATAAAATTTGGCCTTAGGCCGGGCAAAAGCGGGCCGAAGGTCCGCAGGGGAGTGTGGGGGCGAACCCCCCATATAAATTTTTGTAGTGTCCCCTGAGATTGTAAAGGCTAGCGACACCCCTGGAAGATACACCTCGACAAACACGCCAAAAAAATTATTTAAATATTTATATTTATTTTCGCAAAAATAAAACTTTAGACTTTTAAAAAAAAATAAAATTTAAAATAAATAATATACTTCGACTGATAAAATGCAATAAGAATAACCAAAATTTGTTAAATCCTTAAATTTCAAAATAAAAATAATTAAAATAATAATATATTTTCGGATTATCTCTTTTTGTTCAATTAAGAATTCAATCAATATTCTTTTTAATAAATAAAATATAAAAATTTATAATGAATATCTATATAATCTAAATTAAACATAAAATCTGAATCTCCTTTTTCTTATTTTTTTCCTGCCCTAAATTTAGACAACAAATTAAAATTATATTTTATCTTAAAATTTTCTCCTTTAGAAAACTTTATAATTTCTTTCCATAAATTAATTTTATAAATTAATAATTCCATATTAAAAATATATATATATTATTAATAATCTTAATTTTTTATATATATCCATTCATATTTTTCATATTATAGTTTATTTTTATTTTAAGAATACCATTAAAGTATGCTATAAGTGAACGGTGGATTAAAATAACTTATTCATCATCAATATATATTCAGGAAAAAGAGGGTAATAAGTCAGAAAACAATATGGAATTGTGAAGAGTCTTATAAATTATTGGTAGGTCATTAAATGAAGAAGTAATTCTTCATATATAAATAATCATGTGTTAAATGGTGCTGATAAAAAGGATTCAGTTTGATAGGTCGCTTATTAGTTCCCATTATCTAGTTCATCGAGCAGTTATGTTATGAATCAACCCGATAGCTATAGAATAACATTTTCGGGTTTGCCATTCCTTCAATATTATAGCAAGTATTTCCAACCGGAACTGTCAGGAATTTTAATATTTGCCACCGTGCAAAATTTTACATTGATGGAGGAAGCAGTTACTCTGCTATGCAGATGGCACATTTAAAACCTTCCTCTTAAGTTTTCACCACCTTTAGACCATCCATGTTCAATATCATAAAACAATTGTATCTACCGTTTTTGTGCTATTACCGTTTAAAACCCAGTTTACATGTATAAGGGCCTTGGATGAGGTAAAAATTACATAGTAATCTAAATCCTATATCAATATTGATCGAATTTGATAAGGGAAAATAAATGTCTTCACTCATTCATTTCCCTCAATAATTATAAGAGGTTGTTTCTTTCCTTCGTATAACCCAAGCGATCTGGAGGCATAAACAAATGGATATCGAGTTATTAGCGCAAGTTGTCGATAAAAATTAGACAAATATGATAATTACGATAGTTACTATTTAATAGTAACGTGCTATACTTTGACTTACATTGGAAAATGAAGGAAAAATTCTACGTGTGTCGTTCGCTGTGGACTTTTATATTTTAGATTCTCTACCTCATCAGTCCTTAAATCATCTATCCCGAACCATTCTAAAATAAAGGATAGATTATATATTGACATGTGTCACCTCTTTTATTTTTACCTATTTTTAATGGATCAACCATCTATTGACAATGGTCAAAACTATTCCTATTAATCCTAACCCAGAGCTAGCCGGCGCAATAAATCTTATGGCTACCCTTATCCTCTCCACTTGCCGTACTCAATTAATCCTATGACTTCAAATTTAATAGTTTAGAACCTTTTAATAATCTCACATATGCTTCTGAAGAAAACTCGTTGTATATAATCTTCCGTTGAAAATGAACTGCAGTATAATATATTTATTTAAATGTCAAAAGGTGCTGTAATTATTTATTCATCTTACCCTTTTATATTTTTCCATAGAATAATGCTTTATTAATATAATATAATCATCTATACTTAATTTTTCTACTCAAAACATTTTATGTTACAATATTTTTAATCTCATTTACACCCTTTCTAATGTTGCCAATGGTGATGCTTTAATTGAGTTTTTTTTTGTTAAATAATTGTTTGTTTTTAAATAAAAAACACAAGAGTCATTTATAGTCCTTGCCCTTCCTTTTATAACATTTTCTACCCTTCTTCAAAATAATGTCACATATTATCTACTTTTCTCCTACCCTCAACTACCCCATATCCTATTATTTATTAAATATAAGGAACTGCTTATCTCCAATCCCTTGACTGCTCTAAGGGCCACAAATGTATCAAAACATATGTTACTCTCCAATGACAAATCAACCTAATTGCATTAGATTAAGTACTAATCACCTCCACACCTTACCTAGTATTATTAAGACAATGCCACGTTTTCTCAATATTCTTTCATTCCTAATAGTGCCCGCATTCGAATATCTAAATTGCTTAAGGAAATATTTAACTCATGTACACTGGGATAATTCATCCCTCCATTGCAGGACCCTAAAACCCCGATTTCTATTAACAAAACGTACTTTACACACAAATATAAAAGCAAATTACTAGGTTAAATTATCAGGAAAAATATACTGGTACTAAAAAAAAGAAAAGTTTGAAGAGAGACTAAAATCATTAGGAACAAGCCAGAAGCTATGATAAATTATGAATAATTTTATGCTGATACTTGATTAAGGAAAAGTTGTAAAAGAGATTGGAAATAATGGATAATCGTTTACCTCTTCAATCATTTACAGAATTAAAACGCTAATCATTTACAAGTAATCATTAGAAACAATCAACAGAAGTTGGGATAAATTGTAAAGAATTTTATGCTGGTACTAGAAAAAACAAAAGTTGGAGAAGCGACCTAGAATTAATCGTGGAACGTTTACAGACAATCGTATTTCATGAATATGCCCTTATAATCTAGAATAATTTTTATATAAAGAAGTAAAATTTCAATATACATTTTTTTGTAAAATAATTCATGATTGTTAAAATTTGTATCTATAATATAATCAAAGTGGCATTAAATAATTGACATTTTCTGGTCATTCGTCTTGTAAAATATTTTTAAAAAAAATTGTTTGTTTTAATTTTAAAGAAATATTTTGGTTAATAATTTTAATATAAAAAATAAAGTGTTTATTGTTAATTAAGTAAAATGTAATAGAATTATCCTTATAAATATAGCAAAAAATATAGATACTATGAATGAAAACTGTTATGTTATTTTGTTATTTTCAATCGACATATGTTAAGGCGTTAATTTCTTATTATATTTTGTTTAATTTAATTTATTTTATTTGACTTTACATGTCTCTTAAATGTTTTTATTTTCAGACGTCAATTTAATGCCTATAATAGTTTTTGAATCCTTAATATAAAATAATTTAATAAAACTTAAATAAAATTATTTTTTCACAGTCAATACTATATCAAAATCGTTTACTCATATATTATTACCCCAACTCATTTTATACGACTTATTCCTAACTTATTGCAACAAAGACCTATCACTGAGATTTCTTCAATTAATAAACACCAAAATAAAGATTCCAATAATTTTTTAACTGGTAAGTAAACAATTTTATTGATAAAATAATTAATCCATTTATTTATATGTATTAGCATATGATTAATGCAATCCCCAAGATAAATATAAAGTTAAGCCATTTCTAAGATTAATAATTATGATTTCTCCAGTATTGAGTTATTAGAAGTTTATTCTGGTGCCTTTATCAAATACAGTTAATTATATATAGCTATATGATTATGTTTTGTTTTAATGGGGGGAATGTAAATATTGGTTATAACGTATGTATAGTAAAAAGGAAATAAATTATATTAGCGTATAGTATACACTTATATCTCCCACAATTAATAATGGAAATTAACAGATATATAATAATTGTCTCTTGTATAATACTTAATTCTTACCGAAGTATAAATCATATTAAAGTTTTAAGTAACAATTTATAAATTTATTTTTAGAAAATATAAAGATTAAAAAAATAAAATATTTTTTATTCTAATCTTTACTAAATATTCTCTAATTTTTAAAAAATTCTTATTTTCGATAATTTATTAATATTTTCAATATTTTCCTTATAATAATGCAACGTTGGAAGTTGGAGCAAAAAATTATTAATTTTCTAAATAATCATAAATTTGGCCAGAAATACAAGTGTCAAATATATTTTGATTTTTTAATTTTTTTAGATTTTACTCTATCAGATGGATAGTTTATTTTTACAAAAACGCGCAATTATTACCTTAATCTTACATTAATTTAATTGGAAAATTCTTGGATCGTTTCATATATTCAAATATCTTTAATTTTTTAGAGTTATGTTTCATCTCCTTAAATATGTTAATTCAAGTCATTGAAATTTGTTTTTAGTTGCAAACAAAATTAAGTGATATAATTGGTGATATACCATTATGTTGAAGAACGTAAGGCATAGCTGCAAAATTATTTATTTTTAAAAATAAATCATCTTAATTGCCAACTTAAAAAACGATTTTTTTTACTTCTATCGGATATAATTGTGACATTTCCCGAGACTAAAATAATATTATGGAATAGATTAACGTTCTTTTCATATAAATTACATTATATACCTGATTCATTTAACATGGCATTTCCTCCTAAAAAATAAGAAAACAAATTTTGATTATTTTTTCCCCACTTTTTTATTGGCTTTATGAATTTGTTGCGGCTGTGTAAATATTTAAATTTTTTGGTGGGGACGGAGTTGTGGTGTGTTATACGACTTGTAGTGGCCTCTTAATAAATTTGATGCAAAGGATGTTTTTTCTGAAATATTTTATATATTTTTTTTATAAATGATATATTGCAAGTTTATGAGAAGGAGGGGGTAGCGGTAGGGTGGGGAGAGTGTTAATTTAATAGCCTAAAATATATCTTCAATCAATAAGATCTACAGAGTTCAAATTTATAGCCACAATTTTTTATTTAATATTTTACGTTTTTTATACCGGTCCGATTTAAATTTCAATTTATTTTTTTTAAATTTTTAAGCAAGCCCATTTCTGATTTTTAAAATCATGAAGATTTTTCAGCCTTTCAGGAAGGGATTTTAGGTAATGCCTGCAGGTCTCCAATATTTACATAAACTTACAAGCCCTAAAATGGAGTCCCTAACACGAACATTGTGAGTTCGGTTTACAAATGTAAGTATTAACAACATACGAAAGTATCAATAAATAATGTTATATATAGAGATTGGTTGATAAATCTAATTACCTTCTATAGATATGATTAGGGTGCCGTTTACAGGTCCTAGATATTGGTTAACACATTTCATTATTATAGTGTATACATTTTGGTTATAACTTATATAATGGTTAATTTGCCTTCAACTAAAATTAAAAGACAAACTAATTGGAAACTTGCTATAGATTTCCTATTCTAAACTAATATTTTTTTTTTTACTGATTTGAAAAATAGAGCTAAAATTGTCATGGAATGGGTAATTATAAACAAATATCCTATTACATAATATAAGCCTATATCTTAAAAGCAAGTTATATTTGTCAATGATTAATATATTTATCATAGGAAATTGAATGCTGAACAGCGCACAAGAAAAATGTTATGAGTGTTACAGAAATGAAAATGCCGAGATCAATGCTGAGAAAATTTAAGAAAGGGCAAGTGAAGAATGATTTTTTTTAGAGGCTAGATATTCATTCAGATTTAGTCTAAGATAAAGGAAAGTATATTTCGAATGATTTAGTCACATAGAAAGGAAAGAGGCGGGATATATTGGTAAGAAAAACGCATGAATAAAAGCTGTAAAACCCAGAAGAGATTTTTAACTAGTTAAAAATAAATTGGAATTTTAACTTAATTGGTAAATGAAAGAAATAAGTGTAGGAATAGAAAACCATTAATTATTAATCTACTTTTTATAAGGAGTGTATGGATTTTATATGCTTCAAAGGCTACGTTTCCTCGTACCCATCAGTTAAACATAAGTCTTGTTTATCTAAGATAACATTTATATTTTCTCTATTTTTAGTAATTTTTTTAAAAAAACTCAACTAAAGCATCTATTAATATTAATTTAAAATATTTTTAGTAATTTTTTTCAAAAATCTTAACTAAAATATAAGCATTTTCACTAGCATATATTAATATTAATTTTATATTTACTTTAAAATTGCATTTTTTTTAAAAATATTATATATATTTAATTTGCATAGAAAATTATTTTAAAAAATATTTAATTTGCATAGAAAATTATTTTAAAAAAATATCTAATTTTTTAGATAAAAGTAAACATAAATCGTTAAATATATATATATAATTATAGTTATTAAATGGGCATAAATGAAACCATGAATTAAAATTATATTTAATCGACATATTTTTATCCAAAATTTCAATGCTTACCTAGTATATTAAATAATATAATTATTATTACAAATAAATAAATAAGAAAAATGTATACTTAATTGTATTTTTCTCAGAACTTTTATCATAATAATAAAAAAAAATTTAGAATAATAATAGATATGATATTTCATAAAAAATTAACCAATGCATTAATCTGAAAATCTTAAAGTCTATTAACATCCTCAACTCGAAAGCGCTACAGTTAACAAATTTTTTAAAAAAATATGTATTTTAAATTTTAAACATTTTTTGGATATGGTAAAGCTAGAATATTCATTAAAAATACTTTAACAACGATTGATCTTTTAATTAATTAAATAACATATATCTTGAAAATACTGATAAATATTATAAATAAACTACCAAAGTAGAATTTTTTTTAAAATTATTCTAGTATAAGAGGATTCATAAAAGTATAATATTAAATATATCCTAAATCCGAAAGACATAATACTGCAAACTAAAGCCGTCAAAGAACCCAAATTTCTTAGTAAGGGTAACCAACACCATCCACAAGATTATATCTTTTGAATAGTGTGATCAAACTTTGGCTAACTGGAAAATAGCTTAGCTATGATTTTTCTAAAATATTTGCTTCTAACTTCACGTTGAGGTTAAATTTGGAGGTTTAAATCATTTATAAAGAGAAGAGCTTGGTAAAGTTGAATTAGAGTTAGCCATAGGGTAAATTAAACATTAGTTTTGAAACACTTTCAATTTATATATGAAGTTTTTTTAAAGATATTTATGTGGGTGATAGTTTAAAATTAATCTACCTCTATTCCCAAAATTCACTGTTCTATTAGATACTGTTATATTAAAAATACAACATATTATATTGAATATACTATTATATAATGATACATAAAACTAATTATTTTAAAAACATCTAATAACACTTATAGACATGATTATTATTTTGATGGAGGAAGGCATCAATTGTAAGGGATGCCATATTATTTTTTGTATAATTTGATATGTACAAAATAGTACAATTAATTAATCTGACTATATCTTCCTAACTGATCCTTCTTCCTTCCTTTCTTGAAATAACAATATTTTACTAATTATGGGATCCATTTCTTGTTCTATATTTTAATTATTCCATAACAATATATTCATTTAAATTTTTTTATACCTAAATTAAGCCTAAGATTTCTATTTGATCCTAAAGTTATTATATTAATTCATTATTTTATAAATTATTTTTTTCCTAATTTACTTATTCCGATCCACAAATTTAAACCTGATAATGAAAGATTAAATTAAATCCATAGAAAATTGTTTAAAAATGTACTTTCAATGCAATAGCTCATATTCAGAGATCCTATAAGAAATATACGAAAATTTATAAATTAAGAACTATATTTATTTTTAATCAATACCTAAGATAACACCTTTAACATTTGCTATAACAAGTTGATTAAAGAAAGCCATATATAGCGAATTTTATATAATTCAACAAAAAAAACTATTTTTTTAAATATTTTGTATATTGATAGTAATAAAAAAGATATAAATTTTTAGATTTTATACTCACTAAGGGACCGAGATGTCGGTCTTCAAAGTGTCAAATATTATAAAATTGTTGAATTTCCAAATAGAAATATCGCTGGATGCTTTGAACTAAGGTATTTTTTTAATAATATCTCTTTATTAATTTGTAGAGGTGTTACAATAAAATATATTAAAGGAAAATAAAGGGAGTACAAATTTGAAGATGTCTAGATAAAGAAAATTGAAGCTTTATTTTTTCTTTGACTTTATTTTATATATAATTATAGATCTAGTTCAAGATACATCTACATATAAAATAATGGTGGAGAACTTTCAGGTTTTAAATTACCTAATTTACATCCTTATACACTTTTTTTTATTATATATATTTTTAATTTTACTCAAGTTTAAGCCATAAAATCTGCTTGAATATTTATGAGTCTATATTAAATCGTTTTTAAATTAATAAATTTTTTAATAATTTGTTGAGATATTACAAAAAATAATATTTATGAGCAGAATTTAATATTTTACTCTCAATATATCAAGGCTTAAGGAGATTTAAACTAGAGCTCTGCAACTGATAAAAGATAAACATTTAAGAGATAAAGGGGGGGGGGGGTATAAATGGACGTGTAAATATTTTTAAAGCAATCTGTGAGAGGGTTAATTTGGAACATGAAGGGACATTTATTTAAAAAATTCTTTTTCTTTTATTTCATAATATGACATATTTTATATAAAAAAAAATTTAACTTAGAAAAATACATTAAAATAATATAAATTAATGGCTAAATCAACCATTACAAAAATTTATTGGGTGGATGAAGGGCGGACTGTTAAATCTATAATAAAAAGAAACCATGAGGCGCATAAGAGAGGGTTATCAAAATAAATTTAAACAATGGAAGAACATTTGGGTTAAGTACCGGCCCATTGCATCTCTAACTAAAATGAAACAAGATCTATAAAATTCAAAAGTTATACATTTATGGTTTATAATGTATATTTTTTTTAAAAAAAATATATTTATTCTCTTTAAAATGAAAATATATCCTAAACCTAAAATATTTCGCTAATTTCAATAATCTCCTTTTATTAAACCTAATTTTATGCATTGTTTTTTATATATACTCATCAACAAAATTGTAAATATGAATAGAATAAATTGGTATTTAGTATTTTTCTTTCATCCAAAATGCCTCTGAGAGTTAAAAATTTTGCTCGCTATTGGCTGAATAAGCATGAATTTTTTTGGCTACTTCTTGCCATTCACTTACACTTACTGATCTTAACTATTTTTTTCTGGTTTTTTTTGAGGGCGAAAAGAAAAATGGGAAATAGAAGTAATATTTTTCTGTGTCACTATAGTACGTTCAAATATTTTATTTCTCTAATCGACTCATTTCAATTCACTCTAATTTGGTGTATATTTTAAAATTAAAATATGAATGAGTTGAGGGCCCAATATATGCCACCACTGAGGTAATAAATGTATATATTTTTTTATTAATCAAAGCCTTTTTCATTTTATAAGATTTTAAGGAAATCTGAGGAGGTAAAGCCTAAACTCTTGTTGATTTGTTATGGAATTCAATATTATTGTATTTGGGAATAATAGAATTAATTTTGTTTGGAAAAATAAAATAAAATATAGCTTTTATATAAACCATTGTTGGTTGTTAGTAATGAGCCATCTTTGACTATTTTAATATAGGGTCATTTAACATTTCACTTTATTTTAAAAAAAAGTTCAAAAATACTTTCTCCTCCGCATAGTATTTCATCAGCCCACAAAATTCTTCTAACAGCTGATTTTTTGTTTTTACGTTAAGACAATAAAAATTTTAAATAGCAAACCCGGAGTTATCTTCTTGCAGATGATCTTTTCAGCTAATAAAGTTTTTTTTTATTTAAAGGAATATAGTGAATAAAATATTGTCGATATTTTAGAAAATTTTTAAAATAACAATCAAATAAAAAATATATCAAAAATAATATTTACTACAACTAATATAAAAAAAAAGTAAGCAGAATTTTGTATATAAAATGGTTATCGAGTTTATTTTAGTTACATCCAAAAGTTAAGACTAGAGCGGACAATAATAAGATAATTTTTTACTCATTATTTTAAGAAAAACAACTATAATAATTTGAATAAAATTATTTTAATTTATATGTTTCTCAAAATTATTTATACATGAAAACTAGAGTTGGTAATCTTTAAAAAATTCATAAAAATTAATTGATGTTACCTTTATAGTTTTTAAATAAATATCTTTATTTATAAATTTTATTCTTAATTCAAAGTTAACTTTTTATATTTAAATAGATAAATATCAAAAAATAGATTTATTCAAATATTTTATATTCATATTATATAAGATTTTTATTATAAATTAATATAATGTAATATTGTAGAAGCATAATAAATGAATATTAAAATAAATTAAGCACACTATATCTAGATATATATAATATCGAAAATTATTTAGATTTTAGGCTACCTTACCAACCAAAGAGAGCGGCATTGGCATAAGGTAACCCTAGAGACTTTCCATTAATTTGTTAATATTCTCTAGTCTATTCTCTATTCTTCTCCATTTCTGCTTTCCGCAGGTAAATAGTTGCGATTTCTCGAAACATTTCCAACGAGAAATCTTGAACAACTGCTAAGGAAAGAATTGCTATGGTAATACCCTGTTCACTGTATTATCTCTCAAACTTGGTCATCTCCAAAGGCCTTCATTCTCTACATTCCGAGTGATGTAGAAGCAGATTCATTTTGCATTCAAAATGCAATGATGCTATAACCAAGGTCTTAAAATCTTATGACATTCCATATACCCTCGAGACTACTGGACTATACAGTTCCAATGGTAAACGCCCAGATGTATGCGGACGTAACCTGGAATTTCTCATATATTAATCCTTACCCCTTTTAATATAAAAGATGCCCTCATAGAGGCTGAGTCGAATAAACCTGCTAAATATTTGCCACCACTACCTAACAACTATATATTTCTACCCGTATTCGACAAAATATCGATATCTTCCGAATCTCAAATTAGCGATGGTCCCAAAGAGGGTTACAACCTTCGTAAGAGGATGACCCTAAACTTAGAAAAAAGTAATTATCTCACCTTTATTTTATGAACCCTCATAAATAAACATTCTCTACTTGAAATTTATTTAAAATTACTGAGCTAGGTGGCTACATCAACGATGTCTCCTTAATTCCAAATCGAATGAAAGGAAAATATATAGAAAATATTAGTGTTATTAAAGTTACTTTTGAAACATAACTAGTTACAGTTACTAGTTATATTGGCAAAAATATAACTAGTTATCAGTTTCCGTTATATTTCAAAAGTAACTTGTTACATTATAAGTTACTTTATACATCATTCATATAACGCATTTATTTACTGAACAAATTTATTTAATATAAAAAAATTATGAAATACAAATTATAATCATTTGTTTAAAAAAATATACAATTTATTTATATAAAAAAAATAAGTAAACCGAAAATAATATCGGATAATAGAATATTTATATTTACATCGTATAAAAATATCCTATATATTTGCATTGAAAAAAGAACATATTTATTTTTCATAAAAATTTGAGTTTAATAAATGTTTATTTGCTTTTAACAGCAATTGGATTTCAAAATTTTTATCTAGGAGACGCGCTCGTTTATCTCCAAAGATGAGTTTCCCAGACTGAATAAAAGCTCTACAGGAGCACTTGATGTAATAACAACATTATATTTAATAAAAAGTATATTTAAATTTGAAAAATCGTCATATAAAAATAATGTGCTGTTATTGGATTTAATAAAATTTTCAATAAATTCATCATTATCAATAATATTTTGACGATTTAAATGAAAAAATCCAACTACATATGATGTTTGTTGAGAACATGAGCCATTTGTGTTAGATTCACCGCGAGGTATTAAAGTATTTATTAAATTTAAAATTTCCATCTTTTTTGATCTATTCTTTTCTTGTCTTATCCAAGGCCAATCAGTTTTAAATAGTGGATGAAGTAGCAGCAATTATGTTATCATTATCATAAAGATTATGAAACCTACATCATTGTTAATTTATAAATAATTAATCAATTTAAATTAACTTTTTTAATACTAGCTAATATAGCATCTTTTAAAGGTTGACAATATTTTAATTCTTGAACACCTTCCAGTCCAGACAGATAAGTATCTGTGTTATTGTTTGGGTATAACCTAGATACATATATTTTTCACCTTCTAGTATATCAATAGCTTTAGCTACTGGTTGCATAATCTATTTTTTTTAATTGTAAATTATTTATAAGACATTAATTTAAATTTACACTGCAATATTCTTTAATAAAATCACGATCTTGTGATGTAAATCTACACAATCCTAATTCATCACATAATAAATCGAAATCCAAAGGCATTTTATTTATAAGTGGTAATGTTTTAGATAAAGATGTATAAAAAGAACCCCATCTTGTTACAATGGGATATGGCAGCGGAAAATGTCTCTTTTTAATTTGCTCAGCTGATGGCCCAGATTTGTTATGTGTATTCCACAAACGTTGACATTTAGATATAACTACCTTATACACTTTCCTATAATCCTCATTGTTTAAAAGTTTTTTGGCATCTTGTATTGCCACTAAGTTTAATGTGTGACAGGAACATCTTCGATGGGAAGGCAGTCGATTTTTCTTTTTCTTTTCTTTAACATTTCCTATATTATAGATCTAGATATTGTGTAATGCTTACAATCTAAGCATATTAATTAATTATGCTTATGTAATATTATATAATTTATTAACTTATAATGAAGATCCTATATACTATTACAGGAATATTAATAGATTTATTGTTTCATATATTTATTAAAACTATTATATATAGTATCTATCATAATGTTTTTAAAAAAAGTTGACATTAAGAAAAACATAATTAAGTTCTTAAAAAAGGAACAATAGTTAAATTTAAAAAATAATGATTATGTATGTTCTGTCTAAGGAATAGGAACTTCCTAGGTTCAATATACAATTATAAATGTCATTGTTGTAATTAATTCAATAAATTAATAACAAATGGAGTAATCTAGCAAACATGTCTTGGATAAAATAAATACTCGATACAATATATGCAAAAAATAATACCTGAACTAAATAAACCACCTTACCCGCCACTTTGCATGTGATTAGGTTTGATGGAGATTATCGACCAATGTAGGGTTTAATGATATGACTTAAACTTGGATCAGTGTATATTAAGACTATACTTAGTATGTAGACTTCTTTAGTGTCACCTTTTCAATGCTA